AAAAATACTATAGTGCATTTGTGGCTTGCAGCAGGACCTTTGAAAACAATCCCTTTTCAAGTTACAAAGCTTGTTTGCCTCATAGATCTTCCAAGAAAATTGACACAAGGTTCTGCTTATGAATTTTACAAATGTTTACACTCACCATCTGGTTGACTTTCAGAGACATCGCAGGGGTAGTAGTTGTGGGGTACCAGAGACTGCATGGATTCAGGCTGAGGTTCAGCCATGACAGCTGAATCAGAAGCAGGATACTTCCATTCACATTTCACAGCACTGGGGCTGTAAGTGGTCACCACTTCTCCACAAACAGGCTCAACTTGGAAAGAAGCTGCTCTGCAACATGCCCAAGGAACTCCATCCAGCAGTTTTTCATTTGACAAGCGCTGATCCACACCTGTGCCAAATTTGGGGAAGTAAAGATTGGAAATTGGGTGCAAAAGGTGTTTGGACCAATTCATCAAGGACAGTGCATTCAACAAAAAGTGTGTGTGTGTGTGTGATGACTGATGAGTAACCCATGGTTCCTGCTGAACCCAACAACTGTTCATGGAACAGACTCATATTAATTAGTTTCCTCCCATTCCAAAAAAAATGGCAGCATACTTTATTTTAAAATGTTTTAGTTTGACCCAAGGTCACCAACACCACAACCAGTAGTGAGCAGTAAAAAGGCATACAAGATACAATGCAAAAACTAAGGAAACATTTTTTTTAAAGTGGGTGTGTTTTAGGGTCGAAATATAGAAGTCATTCTAAATATTCAACATGTTGAAAATACAGGTGTAAGGTGTTCTACTAAAACGTTTTTATCAAAACGAGAATTTTGGAGAAACTGGACCTTGAAAACACATCATTTTTTATTCAAAACACAAAAGTAATCTAGAGCCACACAAAAAAACTGAAAAATTCCAGTTTTATATCTTCAGTAAGATTCATAACTTACACAGCTGTGATTTCAACATTCCACAAGAGAGTATTTGGCCAAAATAATTTTGATGGGCCCTGAAAAATCTCAGCCTTGAAAGCACATCATTTTGTATCAATAAAATATCTAGAGCCACATGAAAAAATACTGGGTTTTCTGGCTTACACAAGGAACCATTTAATCTTAATATCCAAATTTTAGGAAATGGCATTTTTGCAACAACAACAAATCCAGGCACTGCTGCAAGGTGCATAAAGTATACAGTACTCCTAAATTTTTTTCTTACTTTTGGATGGGTACTCTCTTCAGTCAGATTCATTTCCATATGAAATGGGTGACAAAACTATGCCCTCCATACACAAGGACTCTGAGAGGCAGGTGGCAACACTGGAAACTCACAATTCATGCAAAAAGGAGGCCAGGTCCTGTAGGTCCTGTCAAAGTGGAAAAAGAGCAACTGGGTGTTGTCACAGCACCTGAAGCTCTCCAGCCACTCAAAGGTGCCACCCAACATGTACTCCAACCTTCTCACACTCTCCATGTGCAAAGGGGTGCAAGAGGGTCCACTGCAACACTGGCTCATGGGCAGGTGGACAGCAACAAGCATGCAGTCAAACAACTTCTGGTTCACTGTGACATACTTGCCACTTTCTTCTTCAATACATGCTCTGTAAA